GCCCCTCTTGGGGTCTTCTTGGGACCCTCTCTTGCGCTGTCTTGGGCGGCTCTGGGGTCGTCTCGGGGCTCTTGGGCCGTCTTGGATTGGTTTTGGGCGCCTCTAGGGCGGTGCTTCAGCGCCAGAAACACGAAACAGCGAGAATGCAACAAAACACGGAACAAACAATGACAATCAATGCTTTTGCCCTCTCGGGGCGCTCTTGGGCGGCATCTTAAAGGCCTCTTCGGGCGTCTAAGGGGCCTCCGGGGCAGTTTAAAACGCATCGTGCGTCGCGGGAGCTCGATGCCGCCAGCAGCCTCTTGCGCCACCCTGGTGCGGGAAGAAAGGAAAGCGCTGGCTGATGCGTGCCGCTGGTTCGCTTGCGGCAGCAACGCACGCTACAAGCACAAGCAGATCGACGTGGTGGATAGAGAGGCCGAGGAAACGGCGTCCGACGACCATTTCGGCGCGGGCTCGGGGATGGGCCACGAGCACCACCACATCGGGTCCGACACGGAGGACCCGACCGAGGACGAGCACATGCAGCAGCAAGAGTTTGGGCAGCATCAGACCGACGAGCTGAAGAGCATGACCGTCGAGGCGTGCGACGGCGCGGGCCTGGAGACGATGTACGTCGAGCAGGTTGTCACCGTCGACGCGCAGTTTCAGGACGACCACGAGAGCGCGATCGAGGACGAGATCGGCGAGCACGTGGTGTGGACCGCCGAGGAGCTGTCCGTGGAGAAGGCGGACTGCGAGAAGATCGAGGAGGGCCCCTACGAGGCTCAGGAGGGGAGCCACGATGGGGTCGAGATCAGCGCTGACCCTGAGGCCCAGGAGTACAGCGACTCGCTGGAGGAGAAAACCGGTAAGCTCATACAAGATCTCCGCACCACCGTGGCTCAGAAGGAGTACCTGGACTTCATCCAGACGGCGCACACGTCGACGCAGAGTGCGTTCCTTACTGACCTTACGCACGAGCTCAGCACGAGGACAACCGCCCAGAAGCAGACGGACTTCGAGCAGATCGACGTGTCCCGCATCGGTATGCTGCAAGCCGAATGCGCGAAGGAGCGCGAGGAGCAAGACCTTCTCCGTCAGCAGGCGTTGGAGGTCGAGCAGCAGATCCGCGACCTGGAGTCGGCGTGGCCGCCGACGACTGCAGCCGCCAAGAGCAAGGCCGCACGGAGGCGCAAGGGGCGCCAGCGTTAGCTTTAGCCAAGCGGGAGTGGCTTCGGTGGTCTCCTCCCGCTGTGGAGGGGCACAGCCAGGATGGTGCCTTGTGCGGGCGCCAGTAGCGATGCCGCGTACCACGGAGATGTCCTGTATGGGCGTCTCTTTGTCACATTTTTTGATACAAATTTCTGCTATTGCCGTGAAGTCTGACTTGAACTACTGATCTCTTGCTCAAACACATGTTTGAGATTTTCCTGCCTCGGTCGACGGTGAAAGGCATCGTGACGAGGCCGGCAAGGCCGCTCTAATATGTGTGGCTCTTCTCTATTCCTCACCCGCTGAGAAGCCTCAGCCTGCTGCCTGCTGGACTCAGCCGCAGTAGACCGTTTGCTCCTGCTCAGGGGTGGTTTCTTCAGCCTCTCCTGTAATGGGTGCAAAAAAAAAGAGACCCCTGGACGGCGTCTTGGAGGTGTCTCGAGACCGTCTGGGGCCACTGGGATTGCTGTCTGAGGGCTCCCCCGGGGCGATTTTCGGCCTCCCAAAGGCGGGCCCGGGCCCTGGTACCCGCATTTGCGGTCGAGGTTCCGGCCCTCGGCCCCCGAGCCCGGTGCGCCGTCATGTATATATATATATATATATATATATATATATATATACAAGACTGCATTGGCGCTTCGCGCCCTGCGCCTTGTTCCGGACGCTTCCCTTGCAAAGCAATAAATCATCGCTTTCTTCAGCAGGGAGGACCTCGAGGCCTGGACGGGCGACCCGCCCATTTTTCCGATATCCCGGGTGCCTGCTGACACCGCTTTCGGACGATGCGCTCGCACCCTTGTGCGCAGGAGTGGGGAAATCATGCTGATTTTTTCGCGCGCGAAGGTCCTTTGAGGAAGTAAGGAGCGTTCCCATGACACGCCGAAGAAGTCACAGTAGCTCCGAACACATCGATTTTTGATCGCTTCCCGAATGCCTGGAGGGCTCCAGGCACTCAGGAAATTTTCGATCGTCGAATTTCGAATCTAGATCCATTGCCTGTCTCTCTTGATCGGGTAGCTACTGAAACCTCGAGCCTCAAACGTAGAACCAAGATCGTCGGGTCAGCTTGATGTATTTCGTAGGAGAACGCCGTCCGGTCGTTTTTGGTGCTCTTTTGTGCCGTCCTGGGGCACTCTTGGGCCGTCCTGGGGGCTTCTTGGGCCGCCTTGGGGAGCTGGGGCCCTCCAGAGGTCTTCTGAAGCCATCTAGGGCCCTCTTGCGGGCCTCCAGTGGCGTTCTTGGAGGTAACCCATGGCTTTCGTGGGTCTCTCTTGGGAGCCTTCTGGGGTAATCTTGGGCTTCTTGTGGGCAGTCTCGGGGCTCTCTGGGGCAGTCTTGGGGCCCCCTTGGGCCGCCTTCAACCCCTCTAGGGGGCCTCCCGGGCCGTCTTGGGGAGAGATTGGGGGCCCATTGGGCCGTCTTGGACGCTGCGAAGACCCCCAAAACGGATATGTACAACAAATGTATTTCCTGAGGGAATATGACGATTTTGGCTTCTTCGGGGCTCTGTTAGTTAACGGCCTCTTGGGGTGTCTTGGGGGCCTCTTGGGCCGTCTTCAGACCATGGAGGTTCCTCTTGGAGCGCTCTTGCGCTGTCTTGGGTCTCTCTTGCGCCTCTCCGACGACCCCTCTAATCGCCTTCAGTCGGCTCGCAAGGCCCAGCGAGGCGCCCTGGGAGGCCCGGAAGGGCCACCGAACCTTTTCCAAGGGCGTCCAGGGGGCCGCCGAAACGTCCGAAAGGGCGTCCGGAGCGTCCCTGGGGGAAGGATCCGGTTTAGGGGGGGTGGGGGGGGGCTTCCGGGTAAAAAAAATATAAGAATAGGAATACGTACATATATATATATATATATATATATATATAGATATATGTGTATAGATATATACATATATATATATATACAGATATGTACACATGTATGTTCGTATTTGGGTGCCCACGCTTGTCAAATCAAACTGTCGGAGGTTGGGGTGTGAGTCCGACGTGAAACGGAAACGGAGACCCCCCTACTGGGAAATCGATTTCGGTTTCGGCTTCGTGTCGTGCGTGCCGTGCGTGCGTGCGGGCGAGGCGAAGCTGCGTGGGCGGGCGAGAGGAAATCCTCCTGTGGCTGGGTCGCGGCCGGACCAAATGTTACTCCTCCGGCGGCCGGTGCCGCGCGGTGTCCCGCCGGTGTCCCGCTGGTGTCCCGAAATCCTCCTGTGGCTGGGCCGCGGCCAGAACAAATGTTACTCCTCCGGCGGCCGGTGCCGCGCGGTGTCCCGCCGGTGTTCCGTGGTGTCCCGTGGTGTCCCGTTGAGCGAGATCGATCGTGAGATCGATAGTGAGATCGATGTGGTGCCCCGAGGTGTCCCGTTGAGTGAGATCGATAATGAGATCGGTAGTGAGATCGACAGGTGTCCCGTGGTGTCCCGTCGAGTGAGATCGATAGTGAGATCTATACTGAGATCGATGTGGTGCCCCGAGGTGTCCCGTGGTGTCCCGCTGAATGAGATCGATAGTGAGATCGACAGGTGTTCCGAGGTGTCCCGTGGTGTCCCGTTGAGCGAGATCGATAGTGAGATCGATCGTGAGATCGATAGTGAGATTGATGTGGTGTCCCGAGGTGTCCCGTGATGTCCTCTGGTGTCCCGCTGAGTGAGATCGATAGTGAGATCGATAGTTAGATCGATAGGGAGATCGAGAGGTGTCCCACGGTGTCCCGTGGTGTCCCGCGGTGTCCCGTTGAGTGAGATCGATAGTGAGATCGATATTGAGATCGACAAGTGTCCCGTGGTGTCCCGTGGTGTCCCGTTGAGTGAGATCGATAGTGAGATCGATTGAGTCAGATGTTGGTTTCCCCCACTCTCCCCCCCCCCCACAACCTCCTTATCACCCGAAGGGTGGTCGTATAGGTAACTATTTCTTCAGATCGAGACCACTCCACGGATCACTCCATGATGTTTCACGGACTACGTGACGTTTCGATCATCGATCAAAGCTGTTCAACGGTTTTTGGGTAGATTCACATTTACTACTTGGTGGGGGGGCGTCGCTTCCGCATTGGCCCATCCTCATCTGTAACCGGCGGCATGCTGGTCTCACAAGATCTAACATTGACCATAGTGCTTTCGAATATTCTGGATGCCATCGTCTCCAAAGGCTACGTACGACTGAATTATTTGTGAGCATATGTGTGCCTTCCTGTGCCTCGGGGTAGAACAACCTTCTCAATCCATGCAACAACCGTGCGATAACATTATTTTCGCCCAAACTCCGCTGACATGCGTCGAGTGCCGACTGCCGACATCCGCCAGTGCAAACTTCTTTAAACACAAAAGTACTATGCGTTGTTTGGGCAGGTCAATTGAAACGTTTTTTTGAGATGCCCCAGGAAATGCGGTCGAGCGATCTCCCTTATGTGGGCCTGCGACGTCGCTTCTTCTTGCTTGTGAGATGTCGCGCAGTCGCTGGGCAAGACTGGCACATCCCTGGTGGAGCTGCTTTTCTGTACAAGATGGGTTCGCATTTCGGTCGCAAAACCTCCAATGCAGTCAGGCCGCCACCGAACCCCCAGGGGAGGAGGAGGAGGAGGAGGAGGAGGAAGAGGAGGGAGGAGAAGGAACAGAGGAAGAGGAAGAACGGAGGGAGGATGAGGAGGAGGAAGAGGAGGAGGAGGAGGAGGAGGAGGAGAAAATAGGGAGGGAGGGATGAGGAAGGGGGTGGGGAAGAGATCCGATCCCCAACGGATCCGCTGTGACTGCACTGGAGACGCCGCTGGTGCTGGCCATACCTCCGTCATGTGAGAGCCCCTCCCCGAGCGCCCGTCCGGGAGGTCGATGCACTGCCCGATGGTGGCAGCGGTGGGAATGGCCAGGGCTGCGCCTGGCAGCTCGGGAGTACGGCCATCGTGCTAATTATCATAACAAGGAACGCCAAGCAATGAACGAGGGGGCTTTCCTGGCCATTATGGCCTCGGCCACGAACAATTTCCCCGCCCTGGTTCCAAGGAGCGGCCCGAAAACTAGAGCCTCTCCTGAGGCCGGAGTGGTCCTCACTTCAGCGTCTTGACTGTACTCGGGGGGAAGATCGCGCACCGTCACGCCTGGGAAGCAACATGATCTGCCGCACTTTGTCTGCTACAGCGTCCCTCGTGCGAAATGCCCAGCGAATGGGGTGCAACAACAAATCCTTGGAAACCTCCGCGCAAACGCGTGCGATTCCTCCAAACGCACCGCGCCCATGAAACGTGCGGCCAGCCATGCTAGCCGGGTGGGCCAGTAGAGAAAGCAAACGCAACATACTCATGCCTCTCCAATCCAACCAACTCGCACGCGATTGAAACCGTTAAGCGACTGTCCGAATGATGTTCAACGAAACATAGACAACACGGTTCTGTGCATCGGGCGAAACTACTGTGATAACAGACCGACTTGTAGTACGCGTTCGGCATGCTGCTGGTTAGCGCATGTGCGTGTGCGATGGGGTTCCCAACTCGTGCCTCAGTCGAGGGGATCGCAATGCGCGAATGTTGGATGGGGTAGATCCCAGAACGCGATGCGCGCTTACAACTGCAACGATCCTCCTCAGGGTTGTGAGCTTCCTCGCCAGGGGAGGGTGACATCAGACACGATGTCTGATACTCGCTCACATGGTAAATCATATTTCGCAGGGATCCTGCAAACTACTAGGAGTTAATGTGTGGACGTGGTCTGTGGAACAAGGAGCTGGCCCCGAATGTCGGTTTGGCGGCTATGTTGCCGCGGTCGCCGCCCCTTCGCCGCCTCGTCGCCGCCTGTCGTGTGGGCCTGAATGTCGGTCTGGCGGTTCCATTGCCGCCGTCTCCGCCCCGTCGCGGCCTCGTCGGCCCCCGTCGTCTGGGCCCGACTGTCGGTCTATCGGCTCCGTTGCCGCCGTCGCCGCCCCATCGCCGCCTCGTCGCCGCCCGTCGTCTGGGCCTGCAGGTCGGTCTGTCGGCCCAATTGCTGACGTAGCCGCCCAATCGTTGCCTCGCGCATATCCTCCGTTTTTAAAAAGGAACAAGTGGCACGTGTGCCATGGCTCTTGCACAGAAAGGAAGGGGGAGGAAGAGGAGGTGGAGGAGGAGGGGGGAAGAGGGGGCAAGATATCGCCCCTCGGGGCCCAGCAACGGGGCCCAAATCCCAAGTGGGGGGGGGGAGGCGGCGTGCGTCGCGACGCGGAATAAAGTGTTCGGAACGGAGGGGACACGAGGCGGAAGTCCCACTGGGGCGCTGGGGGCGTGGAGAAGGAGGGGGGGAAAGGTGGTGTGCGTCGCGACGCTGCATAAAATGGTCGGGGCGGAGGGGGCACTGGGCGGGGCTTGGGGCAGAGGGCCACGGGGCGGGTGTCTAACGGGGGCGCTGGGGACGGGAGGGAGGGGGGGGGGGGGGGGGAAGTGGCGTGCGTCGCGACGCGGAATAAAACTGCCGGGGCGGAGGGGCACGGGGCGGAACCCACACTGGGGCGCTGGGAACGCGGGGAGGGAGGTGGGGGAGGTGGTGTGCGTCGCGACGCGGAATGAAGCGTTCGTGGTGGAGGGGGCAGTGGGCGGGGACCCTGCTGGGGCGCTGGGGACGCGGGGGGGCTCGGGGCAGAGAGCCACGGCGCGGGGGTCCCACTCTGGCGCTGGGGACACGGGCGGTGGGGAGGGGTGTGCGACGCGGAATAAAGCGTTCGTGGCGGAGGGAGCAGTGGGCGGAACTCCCGCTGCGGGGGCGCTGGGGGCGCGAGGGGGCTCGGGGCAGAGAGCCACGGCGCGGGGGTCCCATTCCGGCGCTGGGGACGCGGGGGAGGGGCGTGCGACGCAGAATCAAGCGTTCGTGGCGGAGGGGGCAGTGGGCGGGGCTCCCGCTGCGGGGGGGCTCGGGGCAAAAAGCTACGGCGTGGGGGTCCCACTCTGGCGCTGGGGACGCGGGGGTGGTGGTGGTGGTGCGACGCGGAATAAACTGGTCGGAGCTCTAGACACCCTGTGCACGAGAATCCCACCAGCCCTCTGGGCGTCGGTGGTTTAAGAAAATTTCTCTTCCACCCCTCCTTCTTCCCCTTCGGGGAGGGGGTTTACCCCTCCCCCTACCCCCTCTCCCCGTGGACCTGGACGGGGGGGGGCCGCGAGCGGTCAGAGCGTCCAAAACGGCCTCGGCGAGGAAACCAAAATCATTGATTTTACTGAAGTTTTGGGTCCATTTTGGCCTCCTGGGGGGCAAGGCTAATTGAAACTCCGCTCTTCTTTGTTAGATCTCCTCCAAGATGGCCCCAAGAAGTTTGAAAAGGGGTTGGGAGGCCCAACCAGCACCTTCGCCTCAGGCGAAGCGCAGCCCCAGCTTTGTACCGTAGTAGCGATAGTCCTAGTAGTAGAGGGCGTACCATCTCAAGCAACAGGAAAGTCCTTTTGGTCTCGATGGATAATCGTATGCCTCACAATGAGGCGCAGTCATATCTGGGCGGCCGGCCGCTTGAACCGACGCGGCCGCGGGCGCACGCTCGCTTCCGCTCCGTATGTCCCTCAGCTCGCTTTAGAGTCGGGGGGGGGGAGACGAAGCGTGAGCCCGCCGCCCCTATACAGCAAGCACAGCAGCTCATATATACAAAAGGCAACAAAAGGGCGGGCCATAAGGAAGGTGGGCCCGCGCGCAAGTTGCATTGCCTGCACCGTCCTGGTACTTAAAGATACTCCTCAGGAGGCGGCTGCAGAACCTGATGTCTGGCCGGCCCGATAGGGGGTATGAGTTTTTAGGTCATGTTTGAAGGCCTGTATGCCTCCCGTGATCTGGGGGGGCATCTCTCTGTCGATGCTCCCCTTGGTGTGACCGTCTGCGCGATTCCACGCTCCATCATCTGTCGCATCCAGCTGATGTGTCCTAAAAGGGTGCACTCAGTCGGCTTCTTCAAGTCCTTGCTTGAGAACGACTTTAGACCAGACTCAGCATCTATGGTCAAAGTGACCTTGATGCCCAGGCCACCCATCTCAAGTATGTCTTTCAACTGAGTGGGTGTGGGCGGCCCTGCGTGGAGCCTGTGCGTAATCACAATCGTGGGATAACAGTCCTCTAAGTTATGGGCTGCTGCTAGTGTCTCTGCTGAATAACTCGAGCGGACCTGCAAGCGGCGAGACTTGCAGTGCGCATCGGTCAAGTGGACGACGGGATTACTGGATGGCGTGTTTCCACGCCGTAGCAGGTTTGCCCCGCGAATACCATAGCCTTTGACGTCGTCGTCGGCGTCTCCACTCAGGCGTCGGTATCCTGAGTCGCTGTGCAGGTCAACGTCGCCCGTAGGGGTCATCGCCTGATCGGCGATCTTCTTGGGGCAGGCCTGCAGCTTCCTGGTAATCGCGTTCAGTCGTCGTACTTGAGTATTGGTCGGTTCTTGGACACGTTGTAGCGATGCAACATACACCATCAACCGCACCTGGGTGATTAATGCGTGCGCCAGCGCCGCCCTGAGGCTGACGAACATGTCTGCGACCATCTTGGATGCCTGAGCGTCAGCGTCGGCGCCAGTAAGTTCAGGATGTTGTATAGGACGGAGCTGCTTGATGTATTCGTCTTGGTCCAAAGTAACATTGCCATCCTGATCCTTGCTATATCTCACAGCACAGTTGGTGTATGTGTGCTTGTTGAATTTACACTTAACAAAGGTGCCCTCTACGCACTTGACATGCTTGTCAATGGTGTCCTCAGTGCCGGCCATATTGATATCATCAACATGTTTGGCCGTGAGCAGGTTGCTGCCCGTCTCGAACTCCTCGTCGTAGGACGTGGGTCGGAGACCGACGCCTCGCGTGGCCCTGAGCTTTAATGACTCGCGGTGCATCTTTGGTACCAGTGCCCGGGTCCAAGCACTGCAAGCAATGCTTCGACTCGTCGTAGTGTTCGAATCCTGGGGGAGCCCGAAGCACCGTGGCCGGTCCAGGCGGCAAAGTAAAGCGCGCCACGCGTTCCTTTTTCACCAGTTGCCTCAGCAAGTTCCTGATAGGTCAACCCTGTCAGGAAAGCCATGTTGATGTCGAGGGAACCAATGACCCATTGCTCCTTGCACGCTGCCGTGCTAGCGAGCAGTCTCTGGTTCGACCGCCGCGCTGTTCCCGAAAAAGTTTTCTATGTCGAAGGCTTCAAGGTCCATGAAGCCTCGGAGTACCAAGCGTAATCTGATGGTACGTTCCATCTCGCCCTTTTCGTTATTCACAGACTTCAATGCGTACACGTACCTCGAACTCATGATGTTTGACGCTTCAGATATGTCTTGCATTTTTAAACACTTATTGTCAAACCATGTCTTGAGTTCAGTGTAGAGGGCCTTCGATACTGTCTCGGGATTCGCCTGGATGTCAGCTTTCGCGAGGAGGTCGTCTTCCTTGACGACCACAGCTCGCTTTGCAGCGGCAGTAACATATACTCGCATCGTGGTCACGCGGTCGGGATATAGTATCATGTGCTGTTGTTCGGACAGGGCTGCCTTTGACATTTCTGCCGTGAAGCAGAGCTCTACATACTGTCCATCTTCGTCTGAGTCCAGTCCGTAGCTGCATGTCTTCGACCATGGGACACATTGGGACGTGATGCGTCTCTTCGATATCGGAGTCGTGTGTGCGTCCCCACTTAGGCAGGTGCCCCCGCTGTTCATCGGTTACAGTGATCAGCGCACTTGGGTCTGGAACAATATGCGTGGGTACTGTGACAATGTCCCCTTGTGGAGTTGCCTCCATCAGTTCCTTTTCATCTGGTAGTTCTGCATACCACACTTCCATGACATGTGACTCAAGATCGACCTCCAATTCCTCGTAGATCGTAGAAAACCGTCCATCATCATGTGGTGGTTGGGCTTCTGAGGCTTCTCTTGCGGTTCCATCCGGTGTCGGTGCATCC